CATCCAACAGAGGCTGATAGAGTTTGAAATACTCATCCTTTTACTTGTCAACCTATAAAAATGCGGGGAATGTGCTGAGGTAAGGACCAAGATGCTTCTAGCTCAGGAAGTGTGCAAATATCCCAGTGAGTTGATCTAAGAGTGATCTTGATGGGTGGATATTTGGAGTCAAATCAGTTTCCGTAATGTTTTATAGGTTGGCATTACAACTTAGTATGCCAGCAAGACACAGTTTTGCACTGACATTCAACTCATTCCTTCATTTGTGTCAAAACACACTTGTCTATTACATGTTTTTCAATATCATAGTAGAGATATTCCATAAGCAATTTAGCCTCACTAGTGATCACTTAAAAGTGTTTCAAACTTAAAATGCTGCCATTGACGTCTGTATGCACATATTATGGTCAGGAGAGTTTGCTAGAAATGACATCACTGAATCAAAAGTTATGAGTATTTTAAATACTGATAGACACTACCAAATTGTATTCCCATCAGGAATATGTGAGAATTCCCATTTTGCCCATACTTTCAGCCTTTTAATTTTGACTAGGTGAGTTTGAGCATGAATAAAGGCCAGGTAATATATTTATGGAGATAAATCTGGTTGTAGCAGGTACAGGGTTAGACATTAACACAAAGAGGAAACAACCAAAGGCCTGTCCTCAAGTAGCTCCTGCCTAGCTGCAGAGACCAGAACAAACAAAAATAAAACAACAACAACAACAACAAAAAAAAAAACCCAACCATTGACAAAGCAAAGCTGGGATCATCAGAGAGGGGAGGAGATGATATAAGAATGCCAAGAGAAGCAGATTAGAGCCAAAAGGCCTGAAGTGTTTGGGAAGGCCTTTGCTTGAGAGAAAATAATATCTGCCCTGAGAATGAAAGAATGATGAAAGTTCACCACTGAGGAAAGTAAGCAAGGGCCTCCAGCCATGAAACAGGGAGGAGGACAGCAAGGAGGCAGTAATGTGCTTGGCTAGTTTGAGCCATGACGTGCTGCACGGAGGCATGAAGAGAAAGACATGGGAAATAAGGCTGGTCAGGCAGGTCAGAACCCTACTGGGAAGAGGTTCTGGAGAGGGGTCATATAATCAGAGGAAGATCATTCTGGCTGCCTTGTAGAGGATGAATGGAGGCCAAAAGTGTCTGTTACAGCAGAGGAGGACATTGGTTTCACTACAGATGTTTCTCTGAAAATAGAAATTGTGGTTTGTCCACGCCAAGATCACTCTGTGTGGTTTGGATCATGATACCTGACTTTAACCAGGATTTATGGAGGTCTTCCTATGAGTTCAGCAGGGCAAGATGCTAAAAAGACTTAAAAAGCACCTCTGATATGCCAGGCATTTTTCAGACATTTTTCTAATCGTTAGAGTAATCCTGCCGATGAGAAAACCAAGGTTTCAAAGGTTTCACCTAGCTATGTACCTTTCCTGATACTTCCATAAGTGGCCATTTTTCTGTAAATAAGGGCTTTCTTTATCCAACCTTTTTGTGGATTTTTAAAAACTATCAGTTTAGACTATTCAATGTGATATAATAAATTCCTATCACTATTCATTTGATGATCAAATTATCTCAAAATTTTACCAGTGAGAGTCTTCAAATTGACCATTATGTCTTTTTGATGTCCCCATCAGTTGTTCAAAGCTCACCTGGTATTTTCTTTGCCACAACCCTGGAAACAATCATTTCTCTAAGGAACCCTGGCTCCTTTTACTGGAGAACTAACTGTATTTAGAAATTCAGATCCGGGTAGTGAGTATAATGCATTCTTTTAATTTTTTTTTTACATTTTTTAGTCACAGATGGACACTATTATTTTACAATAATGTGTGAGAAATGGTATTGATATGAATATTACAAAGACTTTATAAAGTTTGCTGGGCATGGTAGTACATGCCTGGAATCCCAGTGACTTGGGAAGCTAAGGCAGGAAGCAAGAACTTCCAAGAATCTTCTGTGCATTGTCCCACTGCAACCTAATATGTGAAATATATAGAGAGAGATTTTAGAAAGAATAATGAATATGAACCTTGGGGCATAGAATTAAAACTCAATAAGATTTAAAAACACCCATGAAGTTTAAGAAAGTTGTATTGGACATGAATATTGGATAGTAGAGTGAAAATAAGATTTATAGAAAATCCACATGTTTTTAAAGATACTTGTATTGATAAAAGAACTGTTAGCTTGGACAGAGAAACAGTTCAAAATGAGTTTTCTAAGCTTTTTAGTTTTTAATGGCATGAAAATAATGACTGAGAGAATTTCTCAGCTACAGGTCATCCTGCTCTTTGTCATTCTAGCAACTCCAGGTGAGACACCAGACAAATGAGTGAAGCTACTTTCAATCAAAAACCAGCATCATGTGGAGCAAAGCCAAGCTGTCCCTAAAGTCCTTCCCAAATTGCAATATCATGAGCAAATATCAGTTAGGTTGTTTATGCTTTAACCACTAAATTTCAGGGAGTAATTTGTTATGTTGTAACTGATACAAGAACCAAGGGTTCATTTACTGAATCCCTGGATGGGACAGGAGACTTATTTGGTCTTTGAGTTTCTTCAAAAATAGGAGTAGAAACCCGGCACAGAGGTGCACATCTATAATCCCAGTGGCTTGGGAGGCTGAGGCAGGAGGATTGTGGGTTCAAAGCCAGCCTCAGCAAAAAACAAGGTGCTAAGCAATTCAGTGAGACCCTATCTCTAAATAAAATACAAAATAGAGCTGGAGATGTTGCTCAGTGGTTGAATTCCCAGTACCAAAAAAAAAAAAAAAAAAAGGAAAAAGAAAGAAAGAAAGAAAAGGGAATGGGGGCAATATAGCTCAGTGATAGAGCACTTGCCTAGAAGCCCTGGGTTCAATCCCCAATAATAAATAAATAAATAAGTTTATCCCCAAGTCCCCTCCTTGCTCTCATATTCTTTGATTCTGTGAATAATTCTGTTCTATAACATTTAGTGAGTGTTCATCATTACTAGCTAGACATGATCAGTGAATCAAAGTCAATTGTTTTGAGGACAAAATGCACAACAACAGACATCATCTGCAGTTTTTCATGTAGAAAGCATTTTCCCGAACAATAGAGAGACAGAAAGAAGGAAGAGACTTCTTGGTTAAAGATTCAAAATTCTTTTATACAGGCAAAACTGGTCTCCCATTCCTTAGAAATAGTGAACCATGACTTCTAACCACTTTATTTTTATAACATCACTGCCAAGTTCTTTAGCATAGATCAAAGTCTTGCTAGTGCACAGATCTATAAGTTTGGATTTGCCAAATGCCCAAGATAAGCAAAAAAAAAAAGAAAGAAATCACTTGGGATATTTTATGACTTTTATATATGATTTGAATTTAGTCTTATCTCTGTAGAGGGTCTCTTACAGCACAAGTGGGAATTAAAAAACTATGGAAATTTAGCAGTCCTCAGCACCCTGTAACAAAAGAAAAAAGGGGTGGGGGGAGGGGGACGGTGAGGGAATGTAGCTCAATGATAAAGCCTCCAGACCATTGGACCTGCCCATGAGAAGTAAGAGAAAGGAGGTTGACTCCCGCCTGCCTGTGTCCTCTTATGTTCCAAAATGTTCCCACCAAATAGACAGATAAACAAGGTTTTTTTTTTTTTTTTTGGTCAAAGTTTAAGAAGTATAAATGTAAATGAGAAATTGTATCAAAAGTGTTTATTTATATTTGTCCTTCTGTTAGGGCTTATGTATATGTTATTCCTAGTGAAAGCACTGGATCACAGGGAGCTCTGGGCTCGGTATTGAGACCCCAGATGAAGTGGACTTCGCAGCTATTTGACTATGTGCAATGAGCACAGCACCAATGTTGGCTTTGCTATCATTCTCCCATTTCCAGGTGTGCAATGATGGCCCAAGTGGAAAGTGAAAGTGGATGTTAAAAATATGTGGAGGATAAAACACAGAAAAATCAAGAGTAGGAGAAAGAGACTCCAGAAGTTAGTGAGGAAGGTGAATTCAAAGACTTGGAGAAAGGTCTTGCAGATGCTTAGCACAGCATTTTTTCTAGTTTGAGGTTTGAATACAGTATTTGCTCAGTCACACATCAGTGTTTTTGCCCACGTTTCCAGTGTGATTTGGCAGCAAAGCAGTTAGTAAAGCTAGAAACAACAAAACCCACAGAGAGAACAGTTTAAGTTAAGAACAGTTGCGAAAAACCCCAGCAGTCATGAAAGGAGGGGAGAAATGTTCTTTCCCGAAACTTGGGTTTCAAAGCTGTGGGCCCCACCCAGCTCAGGACGTCCTGCCACAAGGCCACTACAAGCTGCCCGTTGCGCGGAGTGGGCAGCCAGGTACCAGGAGGAGCAGAGAGGACACAGCACAGCTGTCTCCGGGGAAAGGGCGCCTCCCGAGGTGGGACTGGGACGTGATCCTGGCTCCTGACTTCTGCCTATCCCTTACCCTAACCCCTCCCTCCTGGTACTGGGTTGGGGCCTCCTTGCGCCCTGGTGTTTCACGCAGATAGATTTTGCTGAGCAGGACGGGTGAATCCAGCTAGCTCCAACTAGCGACCAGAGGTTAACTAATATTTGCGGACAGTAATGGGGCGCCGGATGCCAACATCATCCAACCCGGGGAATACAAATTCATGTTTCTTGGAACAATTCTTTTCTCCATTGCTTTGACACCTGAAAGCTCTTTTTTTTTTTTTTTTTTTTTTTAAGTGACTAAAGCAAACCAGAGTCTGCTCATTTATTAACCCAAGCCCAGACTGAGAACTCTACGTGGCACTCAAGAAGTAAAATGAGAAAGAAAGAATCTAAGCCCTTAATGGGCCTCGGGAAAGCCTCGGCGGGGCTTTGACCCAGGGCAGGGAGGTGGGTGTGGGGCCGCTCTGCGCGGCGGGATCCCGGGCTGTTTCTGGGCGCGGCTGCCCTGCGGGCCGGCTGACGGGGGTAGGGTGACTCACCCTGACTCGGGATGGGAGCGGGCAGGGGAGGGGGTACTGGGGTGGGGCGGGGCGGGCCTCGCCTAGAACAGAGAGGATGTGGCGGGTATAAAAGCCCCACCCAGGCCATCCGGCTCCGTTCGGCAATTGGGGACGCTCGCAGCTCTCGGCGCCCGGCCCAGGTAAGCGGGGCGCACCCCGCCCGCCCGCTATGGCCTCCGGCCCGCAGCGCTAGCGGGGCTCGGGGAGGCACGAAAGGAGGAAACCGCCTTGCAATGAGGCTCGGGGGACCCGGACCCTGAGGCCCCGCGGGGCAGGGAATTGGAGGGACTGTCCGCACCCGTTTTTGTGAGGGTGGGGGAGCAGAGGCGAAGAGTCCCGGGCAGGGGAGAGGGGCCCATATGTGTTCAGGCCTGGGGGTGCAGGACAGAGATCGGGAGTCGTGCGTCCCCTTGGAGTCCTCGCAGGAAGCCCAAGCGAGGCCATGCAGGAAGGAGAGCCGAGGGGGCCCCCGCATTCCTGAGGTGCCAGGCGCCGGTGGGGGACAGGGTGTGGCCGTCCGGGAGTCTCCCGCTGCAGGCCGTGGGCATTTCCCTCCAAGTTTAACAAAAGCTTTACGCCTTCCGCAAAGTAAATCCCCAAGTGTTTCCAGTTACTTTCCTTTCAGCTGAAGCGCATTTGTGGAGCTTGAGCAGACGACCAGTAGTAGCCGAGGAAGAGGAGTGGGAGTTTTGAGTTGCCAGCTCACATCGCCAATAAAACAAAACAAAAACCTCAGCTCATTCTTTGTCTAGATTATCGTGTAGGGTGGCGGCTTCGGATTTCACTCCATCTGGGCAGTTTCCTACTTGCTTGAACACATTGGCAATGGGAAGGAAGTGTCCCCCGTGGTCCTGTGGGGAGGGTTGCCTTGACTGTTACTCGATGAGTAACAGTGAGTCAGGGACTGAGGGTAGAGCAAGGGCGTGGCTCCTGAGCCGCAGGTCCCAGTGCTGGCGTGGAGGAATTGGATTCCACGTTTTCTTATCTGTGAAAACGATTTCAGTATGCCTGCACCGAAACAGGGTTGTTGTTGAAGAGTTCAAAACATAAAAATGTAAAGAACACCGAAAACACTAAGTGCCATACAAATGTCAGAAAAGTATCCTTTTTGTAGTAAGATTTGCCGTGTTGAAGCTGTGGGTAAAAGTAGTGGCCACATAGGTGCACTTGGGGTCTTTAGGCGCGACTTTACAAGAACTCTTGGAATCCAAGGGCCTGAGTGTCAGTCACACTCTACTGATGACTTCAGTCCACAGTTGTGGATGCTGCTCTGCCTGTTCTTAGCTTGGTAGTTTGGAATACAGTATTCACTTACACAGGAAAGATTGTTATCGCAGTTGCTTAGGCTCCCAGGCCAGCCCAGAGAAACTTTTATTTATTTATATTTTAAAACATGTACTGTATTTCAGCGCTGCCCTATTTCCCATTGGGGAAGAGGAGGTGGGAGGGTGAGGGTCCATATGTGAGTAGGAAGAGTAACTGAAATATTTTTCAGGTTTTTTTTCTTGGTTTTAAAAATTACATCTTGATTAAATTATTTTAATTGGAAAATTGTGTCTTTGCCACCTCTCCCATTTCCCCTCCCCCTGCTTCTTTCCCCCGAGTGCTGGGGAGTGAACTCAGGGGTGCTGTGTCACTGAGCTACATCCACAGTGGTTTTATTTTCTATTTTGAGAAAGGATCTCTCTAGGTTGCAGTCTGGCCTTGAACTTGTGGTTTTCCTGCCTCAGCCTCTCAAGTTGCTGGGATTACAGGTGTGCACCACTGCATCACCTCTCCATTTTCTTTTCTCCACTGATCTGCTTCCTTGACATGTTAGAATCACCATCCAGGGAATCATCATTCAGGCTTGTTCAGGTTCTGTGGTATTATTTCCTCTTGCCCATTTCAGTGAATGTACTCATACCAGACCAAATTAGAACAGTACTAGGTTAAAAATGGTTGGTGGTCCTAAAATCCTTAGCAATCCAGAGGAGTTAAATTTTTGAAAAAAGAAGAACAAAACCTTGTTAACCTAAATGGATCTGCTATTTTTAGATTTGGAGGCCGTGGAATTAAGGAACCATACTATTCAGGAAAGGTGAAGGAAGATTTTAGATGAAACCAGGACCCCAGAGGTGCCCTGCCCTGGGACATTCCTGCTCGAAGTTTCTAGCCCTCTTCTAAATACACCTATAATCCTTTCAAGGGTTTCTACAAAAGCATCCATTACCTCTGCAGTGGAAGGGTGTGACCACATATGCACATTTTTAAATTTTTCATTTGGAGTTTTATGATTTAGTGACTTGCCTGTTTTAGATGGCCAGCAAATATTGCTGACTCACTGTCTAGATCAGTATTGGCCTGGAGTCTTGATATTTAGCGTCTTGCCTCTTGGAGCTAAGTACCCTATTGATTGACATTAGGCTTACAGTCATGGCCATTCATTTCTGACTAATTTCTGATTTAAGTAGTTTTCCTGGCAAAGTAGATACTCATCTTTAATTGCAATTGATTTGAGGGGTGCTGTGAGTTCTTCCTGCATCTTTGGGTCTAGAATCTATGCTACTGAATTGTCAGCTGTCTTTGTTCTCACTTTTTGCTCTTGCAGGGTATAGGGCCTTCGGAGTCCTTTTTTATTATGGGATGGTGGGTGTGTCATAAAAGGAGTTCCAGGCTCTAGTAGGCAGCTTTAAACATCCTTTTTCCCACAAACTGTGTATTAAGCACCTACAATGCTCCACTCAGTTATAGGCTTTAGGAATACAACAGAGGACAACACACACACACACACACACACACACACATACACACATAGTCCATGCTCAAAAGACTATTGGGGAGAGAAAGAAAAGTGACAAAATAAATGGATTGTATAGATATTAATTGGATTTTAATGTCATCTTTTCCCAAATTAATGTTCATTTTCAAATTTCTGAGCTCTTTCCTCCTTTAATGCATCTTTTCCTAGACCTGAACTTCATATTTTGTTCTCCTCAGGATGTATTGTTTGAAGTGATGGCAACTTAAGCTGCCTTCCTGATCTGATTGTGAGAGTTAAATAGGAATTGGATATTTCTCTATTTTTGCACATGGGAATCATCTTCCTTCATTTTTCCCTGGTGCCACACCCTGTTCCAGTTGTAGGCCACACCAGAGGAAATTCCAGTTCTTAAAAAAAAAAAATTCTTTCCGCCCATTCACTGTCTGGTAGATTTTTCCTTCTTCTATTGCCAGAGGCAGTCCTCTACTTATATTTAGGGGACTGGTCATAAGTAGAGGTTGGGAGATGCCTACACTTGTGATCCTAGGTGGTTTCGTTGGAGATTACTTCCAAATCTGCCTTTTAGGGTACACCCCTGAAGCTTTTAAGCCATTTGAGCTCCACCTTGTTAGAGCACAAGCCCATAGCACACAAACAGTCTGAGTTCTGATCCCAGGTCTGGTGTGGAACACTCTGAGTCTAGGGAGTGGCTGTGACAGAGTCCTTTGTCTATGCCCCTTGTCTCCTCACCACACCCAGACTATATACTCCCAGCTCAGAGGAAATCAGAGTCTTAAGGCCACTTGCGTGTCCTATCTCCTTGCTGCCACCTCGTTTGCTTCATGCCCAAAGGAGGTGAAAGTTACATTCCCAAGCTGTCCTGTGCTAGGATTCAAGCAGCTGCTGTGTACTATCAGTCATCTGCTGGGCTTTGCAAGATTCTCAGACGCTGGAAATTGGTACCCTCAGCTCTGAATATATAAAACTGGACCTGCATTTGAATGTTTAGTCTGAAGGAAAGATAATTGAGATAATTGAGCAGGTATGTTAGAAAAGAGGGAAAAAAATAGACCTTCTGAATTGGAAAGACCCACTGTGTGTAAACCCATCCCAAGATGCAATTGATTCCCTACTGTGTGTCAGTGTGCTCAGACCTTGGAGGATGCACAAATGATTGAGTCAGAAGCCCCATTTGCCAATATAGTTGAAGATCGCCTTCACGAGTTCAACTCTGATGTTTCATAGATCCACAAGGAGCAGCAGGAGTACAAAGCAACAAGGGTGTGTGAAAAGATGACACTGGTTATGATTGTCTGTATCCTAAATTTCATTTGGTTGTTGTCATCCCATCCACATACAGCCCTGGTTGGAGGGAACTTGGAGAAGTGCCTGGACAGTGCTGAGCAAGTTTGGAGGAGAGTTGACAGTCCAGTCTGATTTTTTTTTTTTTTTTTTGTAGGGAGTATGTGTGTAGGAGGTATTTAAGGAAAGGTGGGTGAATTCCAGAGTGTGGAAGATCTTGAATGCTGAAGTTTGAGTTTTTTTCTGTAGGCAGCTGGGCCCTGTTGAAAGAACAATATATGGGCCATAAGACACTGAAATTGAATTGTAAATGTGAAGGACTATATTTCCCAATCCTGACAGCCCTTCATGCCAAGTGACATCATTCTTCTTACCAATCACTTCCTGCCCCCTCCATCCTCATGAGACTGGCAGTGAGAGGCTCTGAGAGAGAGAAGCTGCAATGGGTCTTTGGGTCACAAATATTGAAGCCAGCTCAGGCAGCAAAAGGGACAAGCTAGAGCAAGTGCTGCAGGGGCTTCCTGCTCAGTCTGATCAAGGCTACTGGGCAGAATTCCAAGAATTCTGGGGAATGACTTGGCCTTATGACTCAAGCATTAATCAGGACCGTAAGAGCAAGGAGAAAAGTATGTGCTTCCAGAAGGTTCTATTAAATAAAGATGATTTAGGGGGATGGAGGGTGGAGTACAGTGGGAACTCCCCTTCCCCCTCATTCATGCATTTCGTTGTTTGTTTTAAAATTCGAGTGTGGTCTTGCCTCCTGTAGTGTCCAGGACAGACTGTAGTGTCCAGGACAGGCTTTGGTGGGGAAACCCCACCCTCCACATTCCCACCCCCATGCATTTTTGTTTTAAAAATCTTCTTTTGTGTCATCCTGTTCCTGATTGATTCATCTTGGTTGCTAGGGATCTGTTTTGTGGTAACCCAATAACACTCCACGTTTCAGCTACAAGTGGGTGTGTTTCTGAAACTGCTGGGTTAGACTCAAATTTGCCTCTGTGCACCAGCCCTGTGGAAACACGTTTTTGTTTGTGTGTTTGTCTGAATCAATATTTGGGCTTTCTGGACCTGGTTCTTCTTGGTTCCAGTTAAGTG